CATAGGGTTCGTGTTTTTGTTTCGTGCAGGAAGCGCCCGAAAGGCTGCTCCTTTCTAGCTGATGAGGGGCTGCTTCGACAGAGAGCCAAGTCCGCTGAGGTTCAGTGAGCTTCTCGTAACTTCGGCAGTTTCTGAGAAAGTGGCACATGCTCATTCGGACATCTACTGGTAATTCAGAGCATGATGATGGGACCTGACACCGAGGGGACTTCCTGCCCCTAGGTGCGTTTCTCGGTGAAGAGCGAGCTCGGCCTTGACGTGCGTCGCCTGACGGAGCTTAGGAGATTGCAGCAGGCGCCGACGCTGAGAGCGGACAATTTCATGCGGTTTCTTTCTTTCGCACGACGGAATGCCTCACAGTCCAGCCGCCGATCCCGCTTACATCACGTACATATTTCTTTGGCGAGCAACAGAGGGCTATGCCTTTTGCGTGCGTGGGCGTACTCACGTGTTGATGTGTGTTTGTGTGCGTGTGTGACTGTACCGGTGTGTTCGTGCATGTTGTTTCTTCTTCTTCGCTTTAAGTCTTTTTCGATGGCAATGGCTTCCTCTTGTCTTCTGCTCCTCCGAGGGCCAAGACACCGCACTCCGCACGATCACTACAAAACAAAACCGTGGGACCCCGAGTCCCAGCATAGAGCGACGTGCAGTGCAGCGGCTGGAAGAGGAGGTGCACCAAAATTCTCGCGGCACGAGGCGCCAAGCACCCCGAGAAGGCGAATCCCGTCTGCCCCTCCTGGCCCCCCTCGGCCCTCGTCCTGTGCCCCTCCATCCGGTTGGTGGGGACTTGTTCAGCAGGCAATCTGGAAGCCCAGGCCGCCCTACGGCAGTGGCCAACAAAACAGACCTTCCAAAAAACGGAGTCGGTCAGGTTCTCTCAATCCGCCTTTTGTCGCAATGAACTTGGGCAATGCAGGCCGGCGCGAACCAAAGCACGGGCCACAGGATCCGTCCGTGCACATCTGTGCTGGTTTCACCTTCGGCCTGCCAAGGTGAGTTTGTGCTGTCAGAGTCTCAGCTTGTCGGTTGCGAGCATGGAAGTGCAAGCTGTTGCTTGTTGCATTGGCGGTTTAAAGTTATGGGTTTACTGCATGCTTCGCCCTTAGGCCTGCCTCGCCTGTGGAGGTCCGCCAAGAGGCTCAGCAACTGCGTGCAGCGCTAATCCGCCAATATTTAGGAATGTGTTGTGTCAGATTGTCAGTCAACTGCACAGCAAGGTGGAGCTGGACAACAGCAGACGGGTTGATTAAATGGCGGCACCATAAGGAATAAGACAGGCATATCATGTCATAGAATGAGATATCAGGTTCGACAATGGTGCCAGTTGACGTGACGTCGAGACTTCGAAATCGCTGTTGCTTGATGCTGCCGAGCATGCTGTGGTTCTAATACTGAGTCCGCAAGTCAGAACTCGCGGTGATCTTGTGTCGACGTGTTGATCGGATGACGGGCCCGTGTTGATGGCATTATAGATCCGCGGTAGGTTTTTGTTCGGGTGTGAGAATGTTAGCTCGGGACACTGGTCTCACCATCGCAAGAAAGATTTGATGACTGACGCAGCCTGGCATTGTGAGGCTGCTTCATGGGGATTCCGGCCTTTTGTGAGTTCTAAAGCCCTAAACCAAACCCCAAACCCCAGCAAGAGTAGGGAGTCACAGATGACAGGATGCAGGGAGTCAGAAACGACGGGAGTACCGCATCATGGAATCTTGGGGCGACATGGGGCAACCGAAATACTATTTCTGGCAACAGAGTTGTCATTTTGGTTTGGTGCTGGGCTCGTCTAACGTGAATCGGAATTCCTGCACTTGGAATTTGCGGCCGCTGTTCAGCCGGAAAGGATGCCAAACCCGCCCACAGCCGCCCTTTGACCAGGCAGACCTGGACTGGTGGGAGAAGGCTGAAAGCATCTGCTGGCCGTCGAGTTGACTGTTGGTTTTGTTGGCAAACCGCATGGGATCCAACCCTTTGGCAGAAGTTGTTGTGTCATAGACACTGTGCTGGCTTGGCCCCTCCGTGCATCCAGGTTTTCTCAAATGTCAGGAAGGCGGAGATTGCAGAGTGCGTCTTCAACACCAATATGGCCCCTCGCTAAGCTTAAGCGGTGAGGCTTTTCATTTGTCTGCAAAAGGTCGCTGCATGAGTTAACTGCCATGTCCACGTAGTGTTGTTCACATCAACAACAATAGTTTCAGCTTTGTGGCATCATGCTATCAGGCAGCACAGTTGCTCGGACGAATGGGCCTGGCAATTCAAGCTTCCACGCAGGACGTTTCACTGCAACTCGTGGCCTGTGGAAGTTTGGTGTGAGTTGCGAGGCATGTGCAGGCTGTCATCCAAAAGAGCCGAGCAGACCGACCAATCTTTTGCTGTGCGCGCTTTGTAAACGGCCTCCTGGGTGTCGAGGACTGCACCGACTTCAACTTCAAGGTGCGCGCGTGTGAAGGGCATGCGTGCTCCAGTTGCGACAGTGATTGCAGCTGCCACGCAGATCAACGGCGCCGGCGGCCAGAAGGTTTGCGCTGTGGACCTGGCAGGCCCGCCGAATTCTCGTGCTCCGGTCTGCAGTGCTGCCGCTGTCTACGAGCAAGCCATGCTCCAACCACTTTGCGGAGGTGTCATTGGCTCCTTCATGGGGGCTGGGCCGCTCCTTTGCATTCACACGTCGCATGCAGCGAAAAGTTCAGGATAGCTTCAGTAGGGCAATCCTGAGGCAGTTCCTTTCAGCGCTGGCTTCCAAGTGCACCGGAAAGGCGTACCCAGCAGACCCAACCTCAGGCAGAGTGGCAGAGCTTCCAGTCTTCATATGGCACGGCGTGGTATCCTTATGACCGGCCGGTCGGCCACAGAGGGGGTTCCCGGAATGCAATTCAATTCCTGCAAAGTAGTTGGTCCGCGGATTTCTGGAAAGTTGTGGGGGCACTTGTCGAAGCAGCTGAAATAAGGTTGCCAACATAGTTGAACACAAGTCTATGGAGGGGGCGAGGGCTTCTTTTTGTCAGCCTTTTCTTCGAAACATGTTTCTAATTTTCTTCTGTCAACTTTTCCAAGGGAAAAGCTGCATTTCCTTCCCACCCCGTCCTCCCTCCCTGTCCCTCCCCCTACCGCCTCCACCCCCTCCCTTCCCTCCTTCCCCCCTACCCCCCTACCGCCTCCATCGACATTTTTCTTTTGTTTGTTTTTGTTTTTGTAAACTTTTTGCCCGGCTCCTCCTGCATGCTAGTTTTTTGTTTTCCTGAGTGGAAGTTGACATAAAGTTGAGCCTGGTGTCATCAACTCTCCGGATATCCTGGAATCAATATGTTTTTCATCTTGTTCTCAACTTTGAATGATTGTTTGAAATCCAGCCTGTGCCTGCCCAGCGCCTGTCACAATGGTATCGTTGCAGCACCTTCGATCAAGGAAGATGCAGGTTTCACACCAGGGCCTGACAGACCGACACTTCTTGGACGACATTAGTTATGGCGAGCACACCCACTGGCCACTGACCTCTGCCAACAACAACTTGGGCTTAGGCCGACTGCACTTCAGCTGCGTTCCAGGCGAAGCGCTCAGCATGATGAGCTTTGATTGCGAACACAGGGCATGATGCTTGCAAACATGTTGCTCGCAATCGGGGCGATGTTGAGAAGAGGTCATTGGAGCTATTGACACACTTGCAGCCGTGGGTGCAAGTTTTCCGTTGCTTGGCTGTGTTGATGCTCCTTCATCGACGATGCTAGCACGGGTCCTGAGTGATCTTGTCAGTCCTATTACGCTCCCTTCTAGCTCACACCATACCTTATGCCTTGATGTCGCCATCTGTTCTAGCTCTGCCGCGTTCGTGTGCTCTTATTCGAACGGGGCAGATCGAGCATGGTTTCTTGCATCAAGAACGCTTGCAGGTTAACATGCGGTGGAGAGGGTGAAGAACGTCAGCCCGCCTGCATTCGTGGGCTTGCAGAGCGACCATGAACGACAAATTGCTTGTTGTCCGAATTGCGTACTCTGATGCCAGTGGACTACAAGGACTTCATCCTGCCATGAGCGTCGCAGGACGATCTAAACGTAGCCGCTGCCTGCTTTCGCAGCTCAAAGCAGCAAGGAAGCAGGTCAAGTCCACCGATGGGCCTGCGCAAATCACAACAGCTCCAGGTGCAGATTGTAGCATCCACCAATTCCGCTTGAGCGACTGCTCCCCAATCTTGACTCACGACTGATCCTGGATAATCAAGACTATGCATATGTCTGCACTGGCTCATCTGTTCGCTGCTTAGCCCGGTCTACAGCTGCGAAGCCTGCGAGACCGGAGATTAGAAGAATGACTGAATGAATGAATGCAGCGCAAGTGCGTCTTGCAAGTGCATGGGCAAGAGAACTGAGTATGCCGGCTTTGCCGAGCTATGCCCCGACATATTCTGGAGCTTTCCAGACAAGGTATGAGCAAAGCGCTGCTGCGTTCACGCGGTTGAGAATGGAGTCCGAAGATGGCTCCACCCTCTTAGGTCTCCTCCAAACTTTTTGGCCAAAAGGTGTCAAAAAAGCCTTCACGCAGAAGTGCTGAACGCTCTCTCCCTCCCTCACTCACTTCCTCCCTCCTTCACTCCCTCACTCGTTCGCTCTTTGTCTCACCATCTGTCTCTCTCTTGCTCTGTCTCCGCCTCTGTCCGTCTCCGTCTCCGTCTGTGTGTTTTCTCCCTCTCTCCCTCTCTCTCTCTCTCTCTACCTCTGCCGAAGCGCAGGCATGCTGCTTTGTGTGCGTCTTAATGCTTGCATTGGGAGGCCTTCCATCCGACACGGATCAGTCGCAGGTGAAGGATATTTGGCTCAATGGCTGCAGCATGCTGCAGCTTCTGAATCGCTATCTCATATGTTTGCTTGCTCGTGTCCCGGGTTCTTGCAGGAGGGCTGCAGATTCCTTCAGGTACGAGCATGATGTTTCGAGACTCGAAGTGAAGACCAGATGGCACCGGAGCTGAAGAATCAGCTTGCTTGTTAGACTAGATGGCACCTTGTCTCGCATGGGGCGACGGAAGCCCGATTCCGGGTGCCGAGCTCAGTCCGAGGCTGAGTGTGCTCTGGCTGTGCTGCTGTTCACCCGGCAGGTGCACACGGCCGGCAGCTTTCGGGGCCATCTCGGCCCTGGTGCTGCTCGTTCTGCTGCAATCCAGCCGCGAGGCGCACGAGCGGAGTCCTCACTGTACCGCAAGGCCGCACTTTTCGATTCCTCACCGTTCCCAGGCAGACTTCCTGCAGCATCTGGAGCCGATCGCCGTCGCGGAAACAAGCCCGAAGAGTGGACCGACAGAGCGGCTTTGCAAAACTTGAGATGCATGGTTTTCCACCTTTCCCATATCGGCAAGAAGGATGCAACGACTCAGACACACACCATGAATCCCTGTGCCGTGTGATGGCGATCCGCATGATGAGCCTTCCGAGACCGAAGCAAGATTGAAGCGCAGACAAAGTCAGTGACACAAACAGTGTATCAATTGCTCTGAGACGCGTTTAACCTTCGAGCTGCTGAGGCCACAGTCTTCCCCGCCATTGCCTTCGCCGCCACCACAAAGACTGACTGGCGAAGCAGCGCCGGCACCCAAACCTGGTAGTCAGTTGTTGCCACCTCCAAAGATCGAGGCGGCAAATGAGGCATCCACTTCAGGACGAACCGACGAAGAACGCCGGGTCTTGGAAGTGGTGCGGAAGCGGGCTGGCTTATACGCTGACAAGGGGGCGCACCCCGAATTCGCCAATGTGGTGCTGCTTACCGCAGCCAACTATGCATACTTCGCCATCTACCAGAACTGGCGATGCAACGCGGAGAGACATGGATTGGATTGGGCAGTTGTTGCCAACGACGAGGAGGCCTTTCAACAACTTGGCGCGGACAGAGCCCTGCTCGCGATCGGCGAGAAGGTAAGTGGCATGAACGGGTGGGGAAGTGCAAAGTTAGACAGCGTGGGCCGGAACAAGATGTTCATGGTGCTCACGATTATGAGAATTTCAGGTTTAGGAGTAGTGTTCACCGATGCAGACAATATGTTTCGTGGTGATCCCTTTGCAACGGGTGTGCATTTGGGAGATCTGATCCGCTCTGAGAAATACGACTACGTCTACCAGGAGGAGCTTGCCAAGGCACCCGACAAGGGCCACATCGTACCTGGAGATGGGGGCAACACCGGCTTCTTCTACTCGACGCCCCACCGAAAAGCCAGAGTGGTGTCTCTGTTTGAGGATGTCGTAGCGGAGGTTGACCGCCAAAGGGAGGAAGCATTCAAGCGAAGCGGTGAAAGACTTGGCGCAGACCAGCCAATATTCTGGCAGGTGATCCAGAAGTTGCGCAGCTCTGGGGGCCAACCAGGTCCTGGCGGATTCAAATGTGTCAGGCTATGCAAGCACAATCCCACCTGTGTCGCCCAGCCCGAAGAGACTCTGGACTATTGTTCCCTGGATCCCTTCGTGCACCCAACAGGCTGGGACCAGCCACCCAAGACTTTGGTAACTTATCACGCCAACTATGCTGCCAATGAGGCGAAAATCGACAAATTACAAAAGGCAGGTGTCTGGGACGCATGGTCCCCAACCACAAAAACCTGCTCCCTGGCTGATCATGGTAAGGTGTGTTTTTGGCTGCAGACCATTGCAGACATGATTTCCGAGCCCAGGCACTGCCAAAGATCCGGCCAATGATTTGATGCAAGTTAGTTCCGCGGACGAGAGCCGGGTCTTGGAAGTGGTGCGGAAGCGGGCGGGCTTATACGCTGACAAGGGGGCGCACCCCGAATTCGCCAATGTGGTGCTGCTTACCGCAGCCAACTATGCATACTTCGCCATCTACCAGAACTGGCGATGCAACGCGGAGAGACATGGATTGGATTGGGCAGTTGTTGCCAACGACGAGGAGGCCTTTCAACAACTTGGCGCGGACAGAGCCCTGCTCGCGATCGGCGAGAAGGTAAGTGGCATGAACGGGTGGGGAAGTGCAAAGTTAGACAGCGTGGGCCGGAACAAGATGTTCATGGTGCTCACGATTATGAGAATTTCAGGTTTAGGAGTAGTGTTCACCGATGCAGACAATATGTTTCGTGGTGATCCCTTTGCAACGGGTGTGCATTTGGGAGATCTGATCCGCTCTGAGAAATACGACTACGTCTACCAGGAGGAGCTTGCCAAGGCACCCGACAAGGGCCACATCGTACCTGGAGATGGGGGCAACACCGGCTTCTTCTACTCCACTCCGCGGCACAACAAGAAAGTTGTAGCATTCTTCGCTGCAGTCGTCGCAGAAGTCGATCGGCAGCGCGAGGAATCTTACCGGAAGCATGGAGAACGTTTAGGAGCAGACCAGCCAATCTTTTGGCAGGTCGTCCAGCTTCTGCGTTCGACAGGTGGCAAAGTTGGACCGGGGGGATTCAAATGTGTGAAGCTGTGCCAGCAGAACCCGACCTGCCAAGCTCCCTTGGAAGACACTCTGCAGTACTGCTCAATGAATGCCTTCATGCACCCCACTGGCTGGGAGGAACCGCCGCCAGAGCGTGTTACCTACCACGCAAACTACGCTGCCAACAACGACAAGATCGCAAAGCTGGAGAAAGCCGGGCTCTGGGGTGCTTGGTCGGAGAAAGCTGGGCGTTGCCACGTACCTTGCCTTGAAGCTGGAACGTTTCGGAGTGTTTGGACCCCTGCCAAAGCATATGTGCGGCTTCGCACCAAGTAGGAACCAAGAGCGCATCCCCTCCAAAACCATCCAAAACCATCTCCCTTCTTTCGGGAGAGCTCAGGCTGCCAATCCTTCAACTCAGCTGGCATCACCTTTGCAACCGCGATCTGCTCCTGACGTGTCCCCAGCGAGACTTGGAGAGATACCAGCACCTGTTTTGGCGAACGGCTTCGCGGGAAGCATCCAATCCTCATTCTGAGCTTGTGAGGATAGACTGCCTGCGGCGCACTACACCCTCACTTCAAGAACTGCAATATCCCAGCGACGCAGAGTCTCACTTCCAGGAGATACGACAGGCAGAGCGCAGAAATAGGACCAGAAGACTGTGTCACAGGGCGTTGCACAACCGTCAACAGCACACGGCCAACGGCCAATGCAGGCACTGGGACAATGGTTTGACTTCGCGGCGAAGAAGTTCATGGCAGACATGAAGAATCCCTACCACTGCGCTTCACTGAGCTCGGGGTTTGAAGGCAGTCGTTTGATTCCACTAGTCGCTTGATCATTCAGTGTCTTCGCACTGCGAGCAATTGAGGTGGTGAAGGCTACTGCGGGCCGTGGATCGAAAATCGTTGGATTTCGCACTTTCTTGAAGGACCGGGCCGCCTTCGCTGTGCGAATATGCGACTGTAGAAGTGTTCATGCCTGCTGACCAGGTTGGGACAAGCGGCAAACAGGCATGCAATTGTCCGACATGTTCGGGCAACTCGATTGCAGATTGCCCTGCACAACTTGATTTCCCCGAGCCGTGACCGAAGAGAAAGATTGGAAGTGTCATTGAGGGGAGATGTCACGTCTGCAACGTTTTGTTCCTTTGTGGGCGCGGAGCAGCAAGATTGTCCGGAGTTTGTTTGCGCTATGTGGTATTGCACTCGTAAACTCTTGCTTCGTTCAGGCCGTACATTCCTATCTTCATGACCTATGTGGACTTGTGGGTTGCGAACGTCTTCGAGTACGTGTTTTGGCGGAAGCTTTAAAGCTTTAAGAGCCATCTGGATCCTGCAGTGTCTGCGTTGAATTGCGCTCACCGCGCAAGCAGGAAGCGATGATAGCAAAGCTGAAGGAGGTGGTGAGGCCATTATGCATCGTGTGACACGGAGGGAAAGCAGTGCAGTGAGCAGTGCCATCCACATACAGTCACACCAGGCCGAGTGTCGCCTACATCACGGTGGTGCAGCATGATACTGGCATGGTATCCAGCAGAGCACCTCGACGGCACATCGCTGAGCAAAGTCGTAGCGTGTCATTTCCACATCCGTGGTTCTGGTCGGCATTCTCGCTGTTGTCTTTCGCATCCGAGTCCGTTTAGAAGGCTGGGGGCTGCAACTTGAGTCTTGAAGTGTGCCAAACATTTTGCCTTTATTGCTGCTCCTGTCTCTGCTGAACTTCGTGTCCCCATCGTGTTGCCGGGGTCGTCAGCGTGACATGGCTTCGCCACAAAGTCTTGTGGACCATGGCGTTTGAACATGTTGGAAGCGCTTTTGATCTCGATGAGTTTTGAGGACAAGATTGTCAACCTCATGAAGGAGATTCCAAATGCCGCGCCCTTGAAGCTGGCTAGAAAGAATCCGCTGGAATGGCTGATGTCAACTTTGTGGGCTCGAGGTCCTCGTGTTGAGTGCGGGTGGCTATGGCCACGTTCCGATTCCACTCTTCAAGCAGCCAGAGGAGAGTCTTGCTAAAAGTCTAGCGAAAGGCGCGTCGTTTGGCTATGTCAGGAGCTGCTCAGCAAGCGCTTCTTCAAGAGTATGGCAAGCAGAGAGCTGCTGACATCATACATGGGCAAGCCTCTTACAACATGTTGATACTGCTAGTGAGTCCGTGTGGATCATATTGCTACTGTATGCCCAGGTTCGGACACGAACGCACCCAAGGACAGCGTCACGAGAGCCCGGTGAAAGCACAGATCGCATGAGTTTTCATCCGCTCACCATACACAGGACATGCGGAAGAAAATGATCAAGTTGGTCAACAAAGAAGCAGAGCGCATGGGTGTGAAGGCCCGCGGTCTAAGGGTGAAGTGAGCTGTGCAACGCTATGCAGCTGTGCCAGGTGAAGACCGGCTTCGGCAGCGCTGACGAGTGGCACCAGACCGCCGGCAACTCCAAGGCGAGTGCGAAGAGCTGCGAAGAGCTGCGAAGAAGGTGCAATGAGGTTTCTCGCTTCCACTCTGTCATTCTCCGCCGAGGTCAGCCTTTGCCCGCGAGGCTACGGTCGGACGGCCTTCCATCTCTTCGAAATCTTACAGTGGCCTGGCCGCCACACCCGTAGTTGCACCGTGATGGTTTCAGCTCGAGGCTGGTTTTCAAGGCATTTGAAATTCGCGTGCTTTAAGGCTTGGGCTCATCCCGATCCACGCTCGGCACTTGGAGATCCTGCTCGCTGACTACAGGACTCTACGTTCTTGCACAGGTTTATCTCGACATTCCGTGGATACCCTACACAGGCCACGTCGTTCGCTCAAAGCAGGCTATGAAAGTGTTACCTGGTGTCAGACCTGTACACTAGCATCGGCTTCTCCACAGACGTGAAGGGACTTCCCGATGTCATGAAGACCGTGCAGGGCCCGTTCCTAATCTGCTCTGTGGCCACTGCCAACGGTCGCCGTCTGGTTTACTTTTGAGGTATGAGTGCTGAGAAGCTTGAGAGCATGGAGGCGAAAACGCAAACTAGTGCACAGCTCTGTCTCGGAAAGTCTTTGCAACTTTTAGGCGAAGATTCGATCATTGAGGCTGGCAGTGACTTGCAGCGCCTCGTCTCAAGTTGTTGCCCAATCTGGCTTCCAAGCGAGGTCAAGCCACTTCACTGACGAAGGACTGCTGGCTCAAATATCGCATCGGGCTGAGCTCGGTGCTCTTGCCGACGACTTTGTGTGCATCACAACTTCTGAGGCTGTTCATGACCACTGCAGCGGGTGATCTGAGATGCCAGAAGCTTCCAAGCACTCTCAACGGATGAAGGCGATGAAAAGACATGCATGTCTCATTTTTGATCTCCAGTTCGGCGATGCAAGCGCCGCATCACGCTTTTATTTCCCTTCTAGCAGCAGCTTCGAGAAGCCCTGATTAGTGCAGTGTGTGGGGGCTTTACTGGAGAGCACATGCTTTGCTGCGTCGAAGGCTCGAGGCCGAAAGACTCTTGCGGCCAGGATCAAATCAAGAAATTGCCACAGGCAGGCCCAGAAATCCCACTGCGCCACGCCTGCAGGCAACCAATTGCAGCTTACTGCAGCTGCCACTGGTTGGACGTCAAACTCCGACCTGGTGTAGCTTCTGCAAACCGTCCTTACATTTTGAGTGAAGATTGCGATCGCAACGACATATTCAGTCTGCAGTCTGTGTTCTACGAAGCTTTGCAAACGGTAGTTATTGATTCTTCGACGGGGACGTTGCAGCTTATAGAACATTTGGCCCGCTTTGGCCCGCCATGCTGCCACTATACGAACCTTGGTCGCAATACCTGGCATTGCTCGAAGTGCGGCTGGCATCCAAAAATTGAGCCTAGGACATGCTCTTGGCCCACACCTCAGAGTCGGAGCTTCGTTTCAGAGAGCGGAGAGCGCTTTTTCGCTCGCAGCGCGAGGTGGCGCTGGGTCGCATCTTCCTCGCCGTGGCCATGGCCGGTGCCCTGTTCGGCGTCTTCTGCGCCTTTGGCCGGGGCCCCTCAGAATCGAGCCTCTGTCGAGCTGCTCTCACTCCGCTGCGTCTCAGGCTACAAACAGCCCCTGTCAGATGCCGAGTCACCCTACGGCCTCCTCGATGACATCAGGCTGGGACGATCTGGGACGTCTGTCCGCTCTGTTCAGGGCCCCATTGTACGTATGTACGATGCACCCGGTCGTACGCCAATACGCAGTCCTACATATCCGCCGGAAATGTACAGGGACCTCTTGTTTTGGGGCTGCTCATTGAGACGTTCGATGCTTCGGGATTACGTTTGCTTGCCCTGGCTGTCAGAGAAACGAACCTGGAAAAAACAGCTCTAGCCGAGGAGCTACATGGGCAGTAATTCTCGAGTCTTGCAGTTGCTGTTCGACTGAAGTCACATCTTTGGAGGCTCTGTGGTTTGCTACAAGGTATAGGCTGTTTTCTGTCACAGTTGCTTCGATTTGAAGAGAAAGTCTTGCCCTGCTGGAGCTGGCCTCGCAATGCACGACAGTCGGGCAACAGTTAAAGCCTACACCTGCCACGTCGAAGGTTTTTGTCCAGCTTCGGCCGCGGCCTTGTCTGTGCTGCAGGTCGAAGCACGTGCAATCAGCCGTTTTCTACCGCCTCGAGGGGACTTGGACTAGTCATCTTGGCTGAGGCTTGGGTGTGGGGATCTGCTGCTGGGCCGACAGTGGGAAGGCCATCGGCCTTGGCACCCTGAGTCGCTCTGCGTTGATTGGGAGGGCGGGTCGCTTCGGATCACAGTCGCATTTGGCAGGCTCTCTCGCCGCAGCAGTGTATCGCCTCACAGATCGGCTTCATGCTGTGAAGGCAGGCACGGAAGGTTTTTCACGAGATGCTTGGAGGCTTCAGCAGTGATCTGTGTCGTCAGGACATATGCGCTAGCGACAGGTAGCGGCTAGTGTTAGGTCGCAATCTCAAAGCTGTGATGAGATTCTGGTTCCCGTCGAAACACGGGATGGTGCTTCTTTCTGCAATCTTGCCTTTGCTAAGTTCACACTGTGTTTATCGAGTTTGCGAAGCAGGCCATTGGCAACCCGTCTGCGTTGCAGTGAGTTGCAGCACCGTGTGGAGAAGGCTCGGTCGCACGTCTTGCCGCAAGTTGATTTGTGAGCAAAGGATCAGAACCGCATTATACACACACACTGTGCCTTCTGTAAAGCGCATGACCAGAAGTCAGCCAGGCGCTTGAGGGAGGAGAGCCTTCTTGAGATGGGAGTTATCCTGAGTAGATGGTGAGATCAGCAGCGAGACCTTTGCATGCCTCATGCTGGAGAAGCTGTGTGGGTTCGTACGGGACCACCTCTTCCCCAGAGGCATGCAAGATGATCTTAGGTGAGCAGCAACAGTTTAGACTCACAGCCCTGTTGTAAATTTTGTGAACACACTGTCCAAGCATGTCGGTTCATAAACTGTGTCAAGACAGCATGCTTCGACTGAGGGAACTATCGTGTCGACAATCGTTGTGCAACCGATCAAGTTGTGCAGCGGCTGACCGACATAAACTTTACATGTATAGTAAATTCAGTGGATCAGACATGGATGGGCAATCTAGCCATCAAGCCAAGTTTGAGACCGCTCACTCCATACTGAGCCCAGTTTCACAGAAGAAGAGTCGATGAGCTCAACACTTCGATTCTGGATTGCTTCCATTGCCAAGCTTGAGACTTCCCTGGCGGCTGCGCCAGACCGTGCCGAGGGCCTTTTGATGGCAGTGTCTTTAACGGTGCTGCATTTGTTGGTGCAGGAGGGACATCAACCTGTTTTGGCCAGAAAAGTATACCAAGTCCCCAGTCAAGTATTTCGGTATTCAATGCATGTCATATGTCTTGTGATGTGTGGTGATTGGAGTTTTGTTCGTAACTGTTAGAAGTTAATCACGTTGTTGTTGCATATCTGCAGATCTTGCAGCAGATGTGGCCGATACTGCTGCAGCACTAGTAGGAGATTCCAGGTGCGTGGTTGAAAAACTGTCCTAGGATCGGCTCAGCACAATTGCAGTACTGCCGGCTTTGTCGTATGCCTCGACATGCTTGCCAGTTCTCCTGCATGTGCGTTTGTGGTCCGAAGCTCTAAAGAGCAATGCTGCGGGTCCAGCGCTGGGCCCGTGAATGTGCAGCATATCGGTGGCAGCTGGACAATGGCGGCATCCGAGGCGGAATTCGTTGGACATGCCATCCACTTGCCCGTCGACGGTGGTGTGAAGCAAACGAGAAGAAAAAGCAAACTCTCAAGCGCTTTTGCCTCAGGAAGAAGCTGGAACTGCCTCCTCAGAACTACTGGTCCGCCTCTCAATTCAAGAGCGTCTTTTGCAATCTTAGCCGCGCACAGCTCACCCCGACTTGCGATCCTGGCCATAAAAAGATGCTCGGAGCTGTTGTGCTGCAGGCATGGAAGGAGCTTTGTCAAGCCGGCTCTGATCCAAGCATTGACATGCGGAGACGGTTTGTGCGAATATTGCGAATTGAGAAGCTTGTGTCTATGCCGGGCAGCTGCGGTATCTGCCGAACACGTACGCTGCGTTGGCAGCGTGACGCGAAGCATGACTTGTGCGCAGTTGCATGCTGTTAAGTTTCAAGGACGACCTTAGCTCGTTACAAGTCCGATCCGCGACATTGAGCCTGCTGTACTTGCCGGGAAAGAAGGTAGAGAAAGACAGTCACAGTCCCGCGGGAATTCCGACGATGAAGAAACACAGGACTGGGATCGAAGAAGTTTCGCAAGTACACTGCTGCGACAGCATGTCAGCTGCTTTTGAACTGACAACCATCATGTCTTGTAAATGCCCACTATGAGCTCAAGATTCTCTGCAGGAGCAGAGCGTGACAAAAGCTCGAGGCACTGTGCAAGATAACTTGCCGTGTTTCGTTCTGGGACTTTGAGGCAGCACGAGGCAGTCATTGGCAGTCATGCGATTGAGCAAACACGACAACGCTCGTGGTTTAACAAGCCTTGGTGGAAACGGCAGCATGAGATGTGTGAACTCACAAATCCTGAAGCCTGTCGCCTCGCCCTTTGTTTTTGACGTAGTTGCGGGAAGCTCTGGTCACTGCGTGTACAATGTTGGCTAGCCGCTAGCCTGCAGTTCCCTAAGCTTTGACCCTCAAGGCAGAGATGACAGAGTTTTCTTGGCCGACTGGCCGACAGCGTTCTTTAGTATTAGAACTCAGACGGGAATTGACACCCGCTGAGAGGTGCAAGCAAGACGTTGCTCCGCTTACAAACGTGCCAGGCTCAGTATGACGCATGCAAGGACGGCTGCTTGGCCAGCCCAGACTCCAACAATCGTGACTTCATCATGTGTGACGACTTTCAAAGAATCTCGAAATGACGGCCTGTACCATGGTTCTTCGGAATGGATCTCGTCTCAGGGGGAGGGGAAGATAATCACGGCAGCTTGCACACATGTGCTGTATCGCTTGTCTCTTGGGCAAGAATCTCCTCATCCTGCAGCCGTACGTAGGCCACTCGTTTATTTCATCATGACAATTCGCGGCTTCGCACTTGGTGTTGTTCCACAATAGCAGACTACGGTACGGCATGAGCAACGGCATTCCACGAGAAGTAGGTCTTCGGGAGTGCCCGTGTACTGAGCACCTGCATCGAGAGCTTGCAGCTGTATGCCCCGACCCGCGATCGGCTTCTAATCCAATTGTCCGTACAGGGCCTCGACCATGATTAACCCGACTGACGGGAGCTCTGCGTCTTCCAGCTCTCGATCCAGGCACAGCATAGCTGCATGTAGCACGAGTCGAAACCTTTCTTCCAGCTTGCATTCTTTCGCTTTGATCGCAGTGTGGTGTCCTGCATAGGGGAACACGGAGGATTTCTTGTCAATGTGTCGGGGTTTCGAGTGGTTTCGCATTTCAAGGAAGGCCGCGGTTGGAAGCTATGTTTCCTCCAGGATGGAAGCCCACCTTGCTGTTGTGGACAACAGGGTTCGAAATCGATAGGGAACAACAACAGCAGAAACTGTATTCGCAGATGCTCGGATAATGATGCATGGTCGATGACTGAAACGATGACAGTGCATCGGCATGTTCAACCGACGACATCGTGCTGCTGATTCCCATATGTTCGAGCTTCGCGCAGTCTGGTCCAGCACTGAACGTGTCAACACTGCTTCCATATCTTGTAGCAGTCTTGCGCTGCCATCCTGTTCGTGGATGTTCCGATTCGTGGGCATACCGTGCCGGGATGTTTTCGCTCAGATTCCCCTGGGTTTGGATCCTCCCCGTCGGGGCACAAACTCTCCTGTCAGGTCAGTATCAGCGGCAATCTCAGAGGACGGACTTTGGTAGGGAGATGCAGTAATGCAGTAATGATGGGCTATAGTATTATGGTACTGTCGTCCGTTTTCGGACGTCTGCTAGCGCCGCCGTGTCAATTTCTGGAAGAGAGAGATCATCCGGAATCCGTCCAGGGCCTTGTATCTGGGTTTCGTGCATGCAGCCCATGCTGGTTGAAGCGGTTGGACGTCGTCTGAGGACAGAGAATCATCCTCCAGCTGGTTCTCTAGAGGATGCACTCCCAGCATCTGTCATGATCTCAGATGTACTTCTGCGAGTCATGTCGTGTGCTACAGCGGTTGGCGGAAGCTCTTCGGCAGCACCATGCATGTCCTGGAACTGATGCCCAATGCCACTCCAGCATTGGGACCAACACCATGTTGCCACCATATCATGTCAAGCGCAGCCGCAAGCAGAAGCGCATAGGCATAGGCATAGACTTCACAGTTGTTTCGAAGGCTTACTTGCCAGTTATCGTTCCTCTCGTCAAACAGCTCCTGGAACAACGAGATCGAACTCATCTGTCAGGCAACTCGGATGACGGACGTTTCGCCCATCATGTGGTCTTCAGTCGGGCACCAGTGTTCTGGTTCTCTGCGTTCAGTTAACATAGGTTGAAGGACCTTATTGCTGCCTCAGGACGTGCGCAAACAACAAGTTGCGAAGAAGCACTGCGAGCGGCCACATACCCAGAGCACACCGGGCTGCTGAAAGGATGTTTGGAAAGATGTCAACTTGAGTTTTCAGAGCCGTCATGAGCTTCGCCTCTTTTGTCTTTTGAAGAGGCAAGAGCCACGGAAGCCGTACGGCTGGACGATACCAGCAAGCCCCTGGCTCAGCATTGCCGACGGTTGCGAGGGTCCGGCAGCTGCAGATTCCTGTTGTCCACGAAGACAGCTTCTTGATTTTGAGGCTTTCGACCGGAAAATTCGAGCGTAAGGCAGGATGCAGTGCTCCGCGTGCTCCACAGCCCGGCGCAGCCCAAGTCCCCAATTGAAAAGCAGTCCCAAACGAATCAGTTTGGGGTGCTGGGACGGTGCTGTTCCGGATCAGACACTACGCCACGAAGGGGATAGGCCTCCTCGAAACAGCATCAAACATGCATCACAAAAGAAATCGCGTCATACGACGATTGAAGCGTTGACCGCCACAAGGCGGAGGGAGGGAGAAAAGAAGCGAGAAAGATGGAGAGAGAAAGAGAGAGAGAGAGACCCCTGCGAAGCGAAGCGAAGAGAGAGACGTAGCCCTCCTGGTCAACCTCTCCTTCGGGAGAGGGGGGCCGGAGAGTTTCACCTCGGCGCTTGAGTCAGACGTCTGTCTGTGGGCATCCGGGCTCAACCCAAAAGCCCAATGCCTCGGGGCACCTAGGAGGCCCTTAACTCAAGCCTTATGTCGGCGGCTGTGGGCAATCCTACTGTATCACAACACGGCTTTAAGGCAGAGGCCGGTGCGCAAGTTTTGACGGTGTGAGTCCAGCTCGCAGAAGGCCAGAGGCGAAACCCGCAGAGTGGGAAGTCAGGTGAGCTTTCACTACTCCCATGTGAAACATGGCACCAATCTACCAGAGATAAAAAGAGCTCCCTGGCATCTAAGAGGGGACAAACCTCCTCAGTAGACGAATTGTGGGGCGGGGCCGTAATTATTTGCCAGGGCGTATGGGAAACTTACGGTGTGAGCAGCCACACTTGATCCAAATGTGCTTGGGATATGTATGTTTTTGCCCTGTTTGTCTCGGTCATTTATCTTGATACAGACCTCTGCCTAAGGGCGGTCCATTCTACGAAGTGTTTTTCGACATGGGGCCTCGCATGTGACTCGCGCCACGAAGCTTCGAGTCCCCAGAGCGCGAAATCGCGCAAGGCTTGGGCACGCGACTCGAATTCCATCTGATGCTGAAGAAGAAGAGAGAGAGAGAGAGAGAGAGAGAGAGAGAGAGAAAAACACCACAACTAATTAAGTCGAGTGTTTAGAAGCAGGCGTTTCCGGAATGACAATTTGCAATGTTTTGTTGGGGGCATGTTCGGGCGGATCTGCACTTTGACAGGCTCTGCTTGCAGGCAAGCCATTTGGGGACTGTAATGTGCGGGGTCTTGTTCGTGACAGAATACAATTTGCAACGTCCTCTTTTGAGGCGGCTTCTTCCAACACCAGCATTTGCAGGGGTTCGTTCTGCATGAAGCCATTCGAAAATTGCATGTTGGTTCGATCTGCTATGAAGCGAGGTACTGTTAACGCAATGGAGGCAGTTTTTCGGTCTTCTGAGGATCACCCACCAAGCCTTTCCGGGCCGAGTCGAATCGTTTTGTCATGCATTTTAATTTCTTGATGCTTCATTCATCTGCACGAAGGTAGTGCAGCTTGACCAACTTGGGGGTGGACAGGAAACTCTTCTCAGTTTTATTCTGTCTGCGCCGAAAGGCTGCAGAGCCTCCTGCCGCCTAAGAACTTTTGCACATCCGATACATGCTGGGATCTTTAATTGTCCATCAAACTTCAGCATGCATTCGTGCTTCAAGCCCAAAATTATTCTTTGAGGCGGCTGCATCATCGTGCAGCCGCAAGACTGGTTGAAGATGCAGCATGCAACGAATCGCCTCAGCTCCCTTGCATTTTTGCAGTACCGGAGCCTTGTGCTAAGAGTTTCTGGGGGCACCTCCAGAATGAGGTGCTGACGTTCTCGCTCCAAGAACTTGTTGTACCCCGTACCGAAAGACATGAAATTTGTATTGTCGTGGTGCCTTGAGGTTGGTAGTCTTCTCGATGTGCCATGTGCATATCCTCCTAGCAGAAACTCGTGCGATTAACTACTCAAGCTGTGAGGCGAATCAAGGAAAGTGGGCTTTTTCATTGTGGTTTCACGCGCGATAGCTCGTGAGGTTGTCAATTGAAGTTCTTGCTATACTACTCGATGATTTGCAGGTGACAGTTCTTTGAGTTGGTTGCCTTCCACCTGAACATCCATCTTGAACAGGCCGGGTGTACCAGGGTCTGACTCAACAAGTCTTCTTGATCATGTGGCCCCATCGCTGTCATCCAAGGCAAGTGCCAAGCCTGGATACCTGTCCCACGCACCTGCCAGAGACTGGCGGCTGTTCTGAGTGGCTCTCTGCATTGGTCCGGGACAGGGACACTGAGGTTTCCACATGACCATGGAGACAAGCTGCTCGAAATTGACAGTCACGTGTAAGTCTCCTGCCGATCTGAGATGTCAGCCCAACTCATCACTTCCCCATTTATGAAACACCCCCCAGTAGTAAAGCACTTTCCCCCCAATATTCATCTTTGCTGTCACTTTTGAGGGATCCTGCTCCTGGTCTGGCTCTTGCTCCCGCGCTGACTTTTGCCTCTGCTCCTGCTGCATCTCTTGCTGTTGCTCTTGGTCCTGCTTCCGCTCTTGCTCCTGCTCATGCTTCTGCTCTTTCTCCTTCTCTTGCTTTTGCTCTTGCTCTTCCTGCTTCTCTTGCTTCTGCTCTTGCTCCTCCTCCTGAGACGGAGGTAGCATGACACGGATTCGTGGTGCGTGAGAGCCGTCGGTTGTCGATGTCAGGAGGGGAGACCCTTCTTCTTCGTTTCCCAACTCAAGAAGGAAATTCAAGAAAGACAGAACTCTTGGGCTGGGGGGGTTGGGGCGGGCGGGGCAGGCTGTTGCTCGCGCCTGGAGAGTCCAAAAGCTTTGAGTCTCTTCTTCTCGTGTCACTCTGCGCTTTATGAGCTTTAAAGGGGCTGGTGGTTAACCAAGAAACATCTCTTAAAGGCGGGTTTCCGAGTTGCCTCCTGGCGGAAGGGCCATCGTGTCGAAGTACTTGTCGTGGTCTTAGGCTCGTCAACTCTTTCAACAATGTTGCAACAATGGCTGCGGCATCACTACATCCCGCCGTCCCCGTTCCTTGACTCTCTACGTGAAGCACAACACAGACTACATTGTAACTACATGAATGAAAGCAGAAGCATGCCGTACATATACATGTACGTTTCACGACACATGTAGGTAGGTATTGCACACGCACACATGTCTGTAGACGAACACGCGTGACACAAATACACAGCGCTCAACTATTGACACTCGCAGGCTAACCACATTTTATGTATATCTATACATACATACATACATACACATAGCCACACCCACACACACATACACGTCCACACACGTATACACACATACACACATACATGCATGCATGCATACATACATACATATACATACATAGTTTCATGTTTATCTGAGTAGTGAAGGCTTTGCAAGAGTTGCCGCTCTGTCAGCTCTCATCCTGGACAGTTGGTTCTTGCGATGCGGCGTTTGCCTGATAGTTGGTACACATGCTTGCCAAATCCGCAGTATCGCAATACGTCCCTTCTTGTAGTGTCACCGATGTAAAGCTGGCAGAAGACTCGGACGGTGGACTGCCACAGGTTAGGAAAATCACGAACGAATGCTACATCGTGCACTTGCCAGGGCATGTCGTTGTTTCCAAGCAGCTTGTGGCAGAATGCTGGCCACGTTTTTCGAACCATTCCCCTCAGCAATCTCAGCAACGATTGAATTTTCGCGCAGCTAGAATTGCTTCGGTCAAGACGGATACTGCGATACGTAATGCACAAAGTTCAGGTTTGTTTTGTGATGCCTGCATGACATGCCAGAAAGGCTGCATGATGTAGAGCAGTTTGTCCACTTGTCGACCCTCCAATTTTAGCTGCAACGTTTACTATGCGTTCTTTCTGTACGATGGCCCCTGGCCTTGGGATCGGTATATTCGTGGAAGTCCACAGAAGCATGGCTCACTTTCACAACTTTCTGAGACATGTACTGTTGCGCCTTCATGCTGCATGTTCCAACCGGTGTTCCATAATATCTGTTTCATCCGGACTGCATTTGCATCTGACGACTAAACTGAGAAGAGAGAGCCAAGCTTTCAATCTTCACTGTTTTCTGCTCATCCTCAAATAGCAAGACACGTGCTTGAGTAAAGCCCTTGCGCAAAACTACTTTGGCGACTGCAATCCGAAAGGATGCGGTGACATGTGGCTTGCAGCAAGCTTCCAATGGATTGCGTTGCTGGCATTTATTTCGCTCGGGTCCTGTACGAGCGTAGCTCTGTCTCTGCTGTGTGGCGTGCTGGCCTGCCAGCAGTGTCTTCTTTTGCCTTCTTTTAACATGTCTGGGAAACAGCAGCCCTGCCGTGCAGTGCCCTGCTGTACATGCTCGTAAAGCATGCCGCAGTTCAATTTTGCAGGACTGGCGAGCGGCACCACGACACTAGCATTAGTTTCTGTTGTTCCGATTCGCGCATTATGGCAGTTTTCCAACAATAGTTGGGGATAGGAAGCCAGTCAGTGTGCCAGCTGCCTGTATGTACATGTGGGATGTCAGCTTGGTGCCCACAACGACGCAACAGCGGGTGGCGAAACGCCATCGTGTGTGTTTGTGTGACCTTGTCGCTGCTGCGTAGGCTGGTTCGCTTGCAGTGAAACTTTCCGCGAAGCCGTGCGTGGATCACAGCTTAGAGCCCGAGGCAGCCCAGCCAGTCCGCTCCTCGGGCTTGCTTTGTGAGTACAAGTTCAGTAGGTAAGCTTTCTTACTCGCAGCGACCTCAGAATAGCATCGGGGCAGGCTGTTTGGGCCAAACCGTGAGTGGGATGTTCTTGATTGCACGATGAGCAAGGACCCCGACCTTTTCCACGGCGACGCTGTCCTACAAGCGTCTTTGCGGCCTTGATGCTGCGCGTCTCCGTCGCGAGACGCTTTGCTCGGAAGATTGGAGGCGAACGGCTTGGCATCAGTGTTTCGGAAGTCTTACGGAAGGCGAAGAGGACAGGGGGCGCAAACTGGTTGCGGGCAGCTGCAATGCTGTATATAGACATGTATGTCTTTTGTAAACGGGTCCGTTTGGTGACTGCTCTGGTAGTGCTACCCGCCAGCTGCAAAACCGGTGGCGGCCTCGGCGACGAAAGCGCCAGCGCCGATTGCAGATGACTGGCAGGAGGCTGGGCCTGCAG